CGAGGACTTTCTCTAGTTGTGGGGAGTGGGGGCCATTCTTCATCACGGTGCACGGGCCCCTCACTGTCGTGGCCTCTCTTGTTGCGGAGCACAGGCTCCAGATGCGCAGGCTCAGCAGTTGTGGCTCACGGGCCTAGTTGCTCCGCGGCCTGTGAGATCTTCCCAGTCCAGTGCTCGAACCCGTGTCCGCTGCATTGGCAGGCAGATTCTCAACCAGTGAGCCACCAGGGAAGCCCAACCTACTTTTAAAAAACTTTAAAAGCATAATTGGAGATATTCTAAAACTACATATTTCAGAATTCTTTAACTAATACTTATAATGAAATTACTATAGGCAGTTCACTGTGCTAAACTGTATCGGGGTTACAAAGGAAAATGAAAAATTTTCAGTTAAATCCCATTAGACAGTCTAACGGACATGAATTTTAAAACGATGATTTAAAGAGGATTTTAGAAAATTTAATATCTTATTCTAGCTTCTTCATTGTACTTGGGTCAACTTTAAATCAATCTTATGTTCATTGTAATGAAGTAAGGCAAAGATTTAATGTCAAGTCATCACATCAGAATAAGTACTAAAAGCTGCTATGACCCGGAGACTAAGCATTCTGTAACAGTTCCAAGCAAAAGTGTTTTTCTGTAGATGTGGAATATGAGCCACAGAACACAACCCGAGCTCTCCTCCTCTGAGAGCTCTCTGCTCACTCCTCCTACCCTTCTTACTCTTGTAAGCAGAGTGCTCACAAGTATAATTTATAAATTAAAGCTGAATGAATCCACATCACATGAAAAGTAATATTCATATTAGAGATGCAGGCATATCTTACTTAAAGGAAACCCTCTTAACTGTTAAATAAACTCATCTGTAAATAATACAGAAAATAAGCTAACAGTCCTAAAAATATCACTAACATTGACGGTAAATACAACACTTAATTGTAAGCAATATATAGGTCAAACATTACGATAAGTAAAGCTGTGAACTATATGTAAAAAAAAACCTATGTCCCATGGCTATCAGAATTGATGCTGTATTAGCTATGTAAAGAAAAGTTAAAAAGAAAAGATCTGTTTAAAGCCGTACCTACAATCTTTTTCTCCTGAGATTTGAACTTGAGCTTTCTTGTTCACCAGTGTATTTCAAGTCTGTAGCAGCATGTCTGGCTGAAGGGTAAATGATGGATGAAAAGTTAAAATTGTTTAAAGGCTGCACACGGACTTCCTGCAGAGCTCATATGTACAACCACATCTGAATTATGCAAAGGACAGACTGCAGGAAATCTTTGTTAATTGTAAAAATGGACGATTTTAATAAAGAAAAAAAAAATTTCTCCAGCTCATTAACAATCACAAAAAGTGACAGAAGAAAACAGGCAACCCCAAGAGTAGGCCTAGTTACCATATTTGCTCATTTCTCCAAGTGCACTGCCCATATACGGCTCCTGGCTAGGGGAATGAAAGTGTCATAGTTTACTCCAAATCCTGTGCTTTTATAATTTGGAGACTATGGAGTTGTAAAGAACAGAGTATTTCATTCGAGCACTAAATGGTCTGTAAAAAGTAACACTATCCTTGCAAATCCAGTGTGTCATCTGAGCAATAGGGTTTATGACTCTAGAAAGATTAACCAATGACTTCAAGCACTGAAGACAGCCTCATCTGCCCTGGGAAACCCTGTACAGGGAGCCAGTGATGTAGATGCAGAGAGTTTGGGGCAAAATTTCCTCCACTTTTCCTTGTTTATAGAGTGTGTTCTCGCTACTGCTCACAATCCCACTTAAGGGCATCAAGCTATTATTAAAGAAGTCTATATATATATATATTTTTTTTTTTTTGATGGAGAACTAATGGACTTAATAATAAAGAGATTGGGAAGAAATGATTAAGATGGTTAGATCAGAATTGAAACCGGGAATTAAATTTAAAAAACGAAAAGAAAACAGTGAGAGATAAGATAACAGAAAGTTGAAGATCTAAATAATCCCAAAATCGAAGGTGAAAGTATAAAACACAAGCTACAGTAAAATGACAATTTGGAAATTTTAGAAAGAGGCTTAGAATCATCACAGTAAAAGGTTAAGAAACTTAAGATTGACCTTCGAGCTAAACCCTCAGAAAGAAAGCTTAAACTTTAGGTAACTGAATTTAGAATTAGCAAGAATAAAGGTAATATGGAAGGAAGTAGGAAGAGTCCAACATGTGAAGCCTCAGAGCAGCTGGACGAATCCAGCATGTTTAAATCCTGCTCCAGAGCTGACAGGATTGACGAGCGATACACAAAGCGCCCTCTAGTGGCGAATAGAAACACGTTCCTTGTTTACTATGGATCTCTCTCTCACCCCACTCTTTTATTTCCCCCATCTTTCCTTATTTTTGGTTAACAGAGTATCATTATATTTAGTAGGATTATTTAGAAGAGTCCATTTTTCCAGAAATATCTTAATAAGAGAATACAACTTATAAAATAATTTCTCAAGGTGAGGTGAAGTTACTGTAATCAAATGTGGAAGAAAAAGTCTCATGAAGCAATAAAAAATAGAGAACTTTAAAGCTATTCACATAAAAACTAATCACATAAAAGACAAGAAACAGTTCATTTGAACTCTGAAATATCATTAGTTTCAATGAGAACAGATTATTTTCAAGAGGAAATAAAAGAGCAAAACAGTATTTTACCTCTTTCGAAACATAAAACATAACAAGTAGACAGTCATTAAAGATTTTTTTTTTTGAGGGCGTGATTGCCAAATTCACTCAGACTAATGTTCATTTGATTACATATCATTCACTCAGCAAAAGTGGTTTGGTTAAAGTCAAATTTCAGTTGATTATGTCTGTAAGGTAGGAGAGAAAATCTGCATTTGTTATCAGATACTGTGCACCTGAAATGTGAGATCTTGCAAAGCGAGGACAAAAACTAATATTGACAACTCATTGTGCCAGGTGCTATACCTTCATTATCACATTGAATCCACAAGCAATTTTATTAGGTTAGAAATTATTATCCCTACTTTACCAATGGGAAACAGAAGCTGAGTAAATCCAAGTAATTTGGATCTAATTTATACACGTGTAGTTTGTAAAGTGATTGAAACTTAGGTCTGCTATGATTACTGCAGTACAACGCGCTGTCTGCTTAGCTTTTCTGAATACAAATACTCACTTGTAAAAGCAGTTTTAAACACTGAGAAATGTGAAAGCACTTTGCAAATTCCAAAGCATTGTATAAATATATGGAATTATTTTGGTTGTCAAGATTTAATGGGCTTATTTAAAAATATTAAGGGAGAAATTGGTTCAGTTCAGGATTGCATTCTACATTTGTAGATGGTTATTCCCAATTTTAATTGTTTTTCATTACATCAATTCCACACCATTAGTCTGTGTCTATAGGTCTGAAACTTTCCAAAAATATAGTCTTGTCAACACTTCTCAGATACCTTATTCATGCCATGTAATTCATTTTAGTGTATTTTTTTAATTAAAAAAAGTAAATTCCCTTTTCTTTGTTCTCCGTAAATTGTACTAACTCTAGATTAATAAAAAATAGTGTTTGTTAGCAAAAAAGAACAGCAAATAAGGAATAGACCAATGAACACACGTGGAAGGCCGTGTCTTCTGGGCTATGCTTTGCAGCTAGCCATGAACACGTTGCAATCTTCAGAAAAATTGTTCCATAAACCTGGACATGCTCTGTGGGGAAAAGTGTGTGCCCCAAAGTTTGTTCCTTAGGGAACGTTGCTCCACTACAACGTGGTAGAGTGGTCAATGAGTTCGGGAAATGTTTCATTCTATATAGCTTGGACTTTCAAATGTACATTCATATATTTGAAACTCTGAAAAGTGCAACAGTAACCCTCTTTAACTTTGTATCAATTTTCCACCGCTATTCATATTTTCCATGGAACACACCTCTCGCCAGGGGGGGTAGGGGATGCTGCCATAAGTCTATTCAATTGACCATTTTCTTCTCATAAACTACCAGTTTGACTATGCTGGATTTGGATACAACTGTCAATCAAGATCTTGTAAGGCTAAGATGACCAAAATAGATAAAACTATATAAACTATGTTTGTGGTCCAAATAATCTATGGAAAAGGGATGGTTCAGGATGGTGAATAAGCATTTCATAAAGCTAAATTTATTCAGTTTGAAGGACTGACACTTATTCTGAATCCTTCCATTTAAAAAATAAATAAATAAAGATAGGAGATTATATTTGGCTCAGCTGTGAGCTTTACCATGCGGCTATAATCTCCATCATGGCAGAGACAATATCTGTTTTTACTCACAATCATAAGCTCAACATTCTAGTAAGAGCCTGGTTCCAAGTAGGCTTTCAAAAAACTTGTTAAATAAATACTAATTATCCTGTTTAGTGACCTACTTGACAAATATATATATAGTTGACAACACTATACTGGTCTGATAATTGTCTCTAAAACTCAAAACTCTTGGAATTTACTGGATTAGATGGAAGTCAATTTTGCTAAAAATATCTATTGCATCAGAGCTTCTCTTCTGTAATGCTATCATTAGGAGGCAGCTATCCAAACAGACATTACGTTCCCAGCCCCTTTCACATTCCAGTGAAGCCACGTGACTAATTTTAATCAGCAAAGTGAAAGTGGTCATTTATGTCACTCTAGTTCAGGTCTTTCTCTGTTAGCTGGCTGAACGCATAGGACCCCTAGGCTCTAGGAATGATGGAACCATAGGATCTTGGGTCTCTGAATCACCACAAAAAAGAAAGCCCAGGGAGATCTGCTCAGTGCTTTGTGATCACCTAGAGGAGTGGGATAGGGAGGGTGGGAGGGAGGGAGACGCAAGAGGGAGGAGATATGGGGATATATGTATATGTATAGCTGATTCATTTTCTTATAAAGCAGAAACTAACAAGCCATTGTAAAGCAATTATACTCCCATAAAGACGTTAAAAAAAAAAAGGAAAGCCAATTAGCAAATGAACCACACACATCAAACTAGTAAATGAATATGAATAAACTTTATTACGTTAAGCCATTGATATTTTGGAATTTGTTTCAGAAGCTAGTGTTATCTAATATTAAATATGGATTCACATAAATATATACTTTCACAGACATATACTAGAAGCATATGAACCAAAAAGTTAGAGCTGGTAGTCTCTAGGTAATAGGATTAACAGATTTGGGTTTTGTCTATTTTTTAAGTTACCATATTTTCTAAATTTTCTTCAAGTGAATAGGCATTACTACACATTAGATTTATAATCAGGGGAAAAAACATGAAATAAATGATACATGTTTTTAATGATTTCCAGCTCCAAAACCTCTTCCTTTTTTGTTCTGGGATCCTTTCCAAATCCCTAAATTTTTCAAGCCCTTTGTTCTGGACCTCTAAACTGGGAATATATTCCACCCTTAGTCAGAACTGGCAAATTGCCAGTCATCCCTGCACTTACCCATGGGTATCTGAGGCATAATCACGTTCCAACTTCTCTCTTCGCCACTGTCTAGGGAAGGTCACCTGCCTGGATCACTTTACTATAGGCGGATCTTTCATTATTGCATTTGTAACTTTTTATTCTGAAATAATTTCAAATTTAAAAAAGTTGCAAGAATAGTATTAAAAAACTCCTATATCTTTCACCCACAGTCCTCAATTGGTATCATTTTACTATATTGAATTATTATTCTCTCTCTGTGGACAGATGATAGATAGATAGATGATAGAGCGACAGATAGATAGATAGATAGGATTCTTCTTTGAACCATTTGAGAATAATTTGAACAACAAGTTGAAGGCATCTGGCAGTAGTCATCAAAATTCTCAAAAATATGCAATTATTAATATGTAATTCCACTTCTAGTAACTTATAAGGCAATACTTATAGAAATGAGAGTTTTAATTATAAGAACGTTAATCACAGCAATGTTTATCATACTGAAAAACTGGAAATGGCCTGTACGTCCAACAATAAGAGTTTAGTTGAGCAAATTGTACAGTGCAGTTATATCCTGCTTCCAAATGTCCTGCTATTTGCTATTCATCGTTGGCCTCCGTAGCCGTTAAGATAAAGTCCAGAGCTCTTAAGTCATCTGCCTCTGTTGACTGCATCACTCGAATCACTCTTTTCACCCTTGACCCTGCCTGAGACTACTCCAGAGGAAATGATCACCCAAGATACTTTCAACCTCACACGGCCTTGATGAATTTTGGTTTTATCACACGGAGGCTCAAACCAGGGACCATTGTACATGGAGACTCTGTCCTCCCTTGAGTCTCAGGCACTCCTCCCTGACAGCCTAGGAAACAGGTACTGTGACCTGATCCAGGGCAGCAGTAAAAAGCCTGGGCTGTTCAGGAAGGTCTGCTCAACTAAAGAGCAAACTAACTTAGAATATAATCAGAATCCTACCAAATATTCAACAGATAACCTATCCCAATTTCAAAGAAAGAGTCAATGCCTCAAAATTATATATATTCATGAGAATTCCTACCAGAAGAATGTCAGCTTTATTCTTAGCAACATTAAGTAGAAAAATAGATTCCCCTGGCTCCAAAGATTTGAGTTTCCAAAAGCTGTGTATCCTTTTCTAGCCAGTATGTGCACCTTCCTTACTAAGAACAATGAAAACAAATATAATATCACACAATTTCCAAAGGAAATCATTTTACTTTGATATCTCAGATTCAGAAATTCTGAAGTAAAAATAAACATGAGATTTCAAATAGGGAGTGTTTGAGATGATCATATTTCTTACATAAATATTTAGAAGGAAAATCATAGAATCTGATATAACACTTATGAAATAAAAAGAATTAAAGTTAACAATAAAATATTCCTCAAAAACATTACAAGTATTTCATTAGATGGACAAATTCTGAGAATCAAGAAGGAAAAACTCCGAAACATAATATTTATTTAAAAGACAATACAGTTTGTGTTGAAGACATTGTTTGCTAGGGAGAGATGGCTTAAAAATGGAATGGAAATTGCAACATTCTTAATTGATTGGACTGGCAAATCAAGCGGTATTGAACCACTTGATTGTCTCAAGGAGTATGCAAGATACCACACAAAAATTTAATTTTATTTAGTTTATTAATATGATCCAAACAGACTTAGTTTAAGAAATGAGCAAAAGACACAAAACAAGATTTGGCTAATCTATACTATACCAAGAGAACCAAAAAAGGTGACAAGATTTTCAGTTGGTGACAATTTTACGATGGAAAGTTAGTTTATTATCTAATATAAAAATACATCTACAAGAGCAACTGTGACTCAGATTGAGCCAGTATGCAACACGTGTGACACCCACCATGGTCAGGGAGGGACCTCACACCCTCCTCAGCTGGTTCACACTATCTGGCCTTTGCCCTGGAGCCCCACAAAACACCCCTCACAGCACAGAGTTTGCAGCCAATTACATTTTCTCCTCAGCCTACAATCAGTTATGTACCATTTCTATGTTCCCCATAACCTCTTTCTTTTTAGATAGTGACAGAGCTCAAGGAAAAAACTCACCTGGCCAGTGCTGAGCAGGGAAAGGGGGAAAAAAAGTACTTTGAGATGGATTCAGGGTAGTTTGGGACTCAGACTCAGAATGGGCACCATCAGAAAGCATTGAGGTCCGTGGGTAATGCACAGAAAAGGACAGAACCAGGTAACGCGGAAAGGTAGGAAGGACCACCGTTACATCTGGGAAGTCACACCAGAGAGCAATAAAGAGGAAGACAACTGGAAGGGAGAGTACTTCCTTTTACACCTTTAAGATGAAAACATTAAAAAAAAAAAAAAAAAAAGGAATATAGAAACCGAATCAACAATTTTAAAAAGTAAAATAACAAGGAGTATTTCAATAAAATGAAATACAGAAGGAGATAAAGAATTCTTTTACTTCCACTTGACTTTATCCATAGTTTTTAAGAGGTTATATTAAGTCAGGCCAGCTTTGCTCTATTTGGGGGTCGATACATTTGATCAGATGTTTCTGAGGAAAAGACGAGAACCCGACTCACATCTCTCAGGCAGCCTGGGAAGAGGGGGAGGGGAGGAAGGGAACACGTGAAAGGAAAGTCTCCAAGAGCTTCGCCCTCACCCTTCACGCCCGAAGTGTCTTTAACCTGCACTTTCGGATCTCGGAAAACCATGGTGACGGAGCACAACAGGATTACGTGCTTAGCGGTGCACGTAATTACAAGCTCGCGGTGCTTAGTGTGCCGCCCAAAACCATGAAGCACAGGAGCAGCTCGAGAGACGCACTTCCACGCAGAGAAGTGGAAGAAGCTCCACACATCAAAGGCTCCTCTTTATAGGGTCTTTCTATATCTGGAGGTAATGCTGTCATCCCTTGAATCTGCAAAGGAAAGAGCAGACATTGCCACTGAGTGTGTGATTTAAGAGCAGGACTGCGGCCAAGCTTGCTCAGCCTTTGCGCTTCTGCAGGGCTTAAAGGGGTGGCGGTATGGATGCTGAAGCTGTGCACCGTCCGGGTGTCGGAACCTTAAGGATTCCCAGCGAGGGGGCGAAGAGGGCCGGACACGCCCTTGGGAAAGAAGAGATAGAAAACACGCTCTGTCTTTTTGTGAAGCTCTCATCCCATTTTATTCCTTCTTCACCCCAACTTTAGTTTTAGAATAGATTGCCTTCTTCAAAGGAAGTGGAATCAGGAGTTTGGGGCCAATCTAAGTAATCACTGAATAAATTCGCAGACATATCAAAAGACAAGATTTGGCTAATCTATACTATACCAAGAGAACCAAAAAAGGTGACAAGAGCCGGACCACTGGGTTTACGGATATCTGTCTGTTCCTTTGATTGTACCTGTTGTGGATTCAGGTAAGATGTAACATCTGATTTCCCCGAAGATTAAAACAAAGTGGGGCTTACCGACCACTCTGCGTTGTCTGTCTTGGAACACCTCACGTTCACCGGCAGGTTAAGGACAATCTTATTGAAGGCAAGACCTTCCTTTTTAGTCCATTTAAACTTATTCATTGCATCCATGAAAGAAAGGTTTTTATACTGCTTGGGGCTTTTAATAATGAAAGGCCAGGTCCTGAATTTAAAATAAATAACCATAATTAGTCATATTCAGAACAAAAGCATTACATGTTTCCATCACTTTTCAACATTCTAAAATAGACTTCATACTTGTTCATTTTTACACACACAGATAACCTAATGCAAAGCACTGATGAACTCTTAAGCAGCTGCTAGAAGAAATACATATAAAATAAGGAGTCTTTTAAAAAAAAACAAAATTCCTCGGTTTAGTAACAGATGGGTATTACTTTTAAACAAATCGTTTTGGCTTAGAAAGCTTCCCCAGAGCCTCCTAATTCCTCACGTACTTGTTTTGGTTCTAGTTAACAATATAGCTGGTAAGCATTCAGTTCTGACGAGTATAATGCTAATGGTGTAATGAAGAAACGTACAGAATCTCAAAAGGGACTGAACAACGTTGGAAATTTCAATTCCATGATGTTGAAAAGCCTGACCGCTGCTGGCTGCCCTGTTTTAGCTTGCCTAAGTGACAAAAAGTTTTGAAAAATTTGAAATGGAACCAGTTTTTTTATTTTTATTATTTTTTTTTGGAACCAGTGTTTTTAATATTCCACTGAGAAACAAATACTCTACAGATGATACCTTCTGCTTCTACTTGCTGCTCTAAAAAACATATGTTAAATGTCCAACAAAGAAGGACGAAATCACAGCAGAATGGCATGGCCAGCTTCAGGGGGTGCTCTTCAGGTGGCGTCTTTCATTAAATATAAGTTTGATATTATTGATTCTTGAAAGAAGGAAAAGTGTAAGTGTTGGCATAGCTCAGAAATTTATATAAACTACTCCATGGACCTTCCAGGAGATTATCATGGGTAACCAGTAGGTATTTGGCTCCCTTGACACCCCAAGAGGAAGTTCCAGTGATTTTCAGTAATTAACAATGAATTAACCTCCAGCTGAGGAATCTCTATTTTTAATATTTGATCTCCACAATTTCTTCATTTAATTATGTCACTACCGACTCTCTCTCTTACACACATAACCTACTCAGGCACATTGAATATTATCTTTTTAATTAAATTAAACATCCTTTATTAATCTTTTACAGTTACGAAGATAAATTTTTCATGTTTAAAACAAAATCATTTCCTCTGTACTCTAATAAGACAATGAGTAATACAATAGGTCATATATGAGAATCTTTATATTCTTTATTCCTAACCTTCTTTTTCCTTTAATTAAAGTCAATATATCTTTGTTGAGTTTTAAATGTACTATTTTGCACAGAGACCTTAAAGTACCATAGACAGCAATGACCATCATACTACATTAAACATATCTAGCAATGACCTTAGATCTATAACACTGTAAATTAAATACACTGTGAAGACCTGCAGAGATACAATCCAGAATTAGTATAAAATAAAACTTGTACATGTAAAAACTTGCATAAACTAAAAATCTGACTTGAAAGAGGACCATTATATTCACATACAATGTCCTTTTAAATACACTAAAAGCTTTATATTTCATTAAATATAAAATAACTTTAAATAAAATATTAAAAATCAAATTTACTTTTCAAAGAGCTAAGGTATTTGTCTTGAAAAAAGGAAAATCAACTTCATCACCAGGGAAATGCTGGGGGTTAGCGGGGTGGGAGTCGGGGGGTGTGATCATCAGCCTGTAATCACCTAAAACACCACAAGGTGGCAATGGAATCTCTGCTAAAGCACTAAGGTGGACGAAGTGCCCTAAATTTTCCGCAGCCTTGCTGGTAAGAGTGAATAGTGTATTACATATGTAGATGAAATCTTAAAAAGTTTTACTGCTAAAACAAATTAGTAAACTAGTATCTGTTTGAGATTTCACAGTATAAAATGACAGAAGAGGTATAAACACATTTATTTACTTACTATAAATATATGGAAAAGGATGTAGGAAAGGGTAGACCCAATCAATCCTATGTTGGAGCCAGCATGACAGGCTGGGTGAGGAGAAGCACGTCACAACCTCCCTGACCTGGCATCTTGTCTCATTTTTATTGTCTCCTTTCCCTTCCTACTAAATTTGTTCAGGCTCCTACTCTGTAACATCACACCAACTAAGTTCCTAACGTTTCCAGCCTGTCCTACACCACACTTCCAGATTACCACTGGAGAAAAGAGAAGGAAAAGATAGAATGAGGAGAAATCCTGAAAAAGTTAATATTTATCCTGAGTATTTTTCCTTAAAAGACTAAGCTGTAAACCAGAAACAGGTAATGCTAAGGTAGCAAGTTCTTCTGCTCTCACTGGGACTGGGACTTAGTTATTAGAAACATTAGGAATGTTCTAGAAAGTAAAACAGTTACATTTCTGCACATCTGGGCAGTGTCCAAATGACTACCCAGATATACATATAAATAGAAGGGTATTATTTATATATCACTATAGTTGATAAAAAGGAAGGATTTAATATTGATGAGTAATTTTCCTGTGTAAGCTTAATTTAATTGACTAGTTGATTTAAAAATACACAAATATGGAATAAACTTAGACTATCCAAAATAATTTTGGAAAAAGAAAAAAATGACAAGTTCGGAGACTTACACGTTACACACTCTTATTTCAAGATTTACTATAAAACTATAATAATAATCGAGTGTGGTATTATAGTAAAGCTAAACATGTACCACAATGAAACAGAACTCAGAGTCCAGAAATTGTCAGTATATGGTGAAATGATTTTCAGCAAACCTTCCAGAGTAATTATATAAGAAAAGGGTAGTTTTTTTCACCAAATGGTTCTTGCACAACTTGATATCTGTGTGAAATACAATGAACCTCAGCATATCCAACACACAAAAAATTATTCAAAATGGATCATCAACCTAAAGCTAAAACTATAAAGTTTTTAGGAAAAAAAACAGGAGAAAATCTTCACAACCTTGGGCAGGCAGCAATTTCTTACGTGGGATATCAAAAGCACAAAACAAACCAAAAATGATAAAACAGACTTCAAAAAATACAGTTGAAAAAGTAAAATCAAGCCAGACTGGGAAAAATTATTTGCAAACGTGTACCTGACAAAGCTCTACATCCAAAGTATAAAGAACTCTTTAAAATTATGAAGGACTCTTACAACTCAATAATTTTTTAAAAAGTAACCCAATTAAATGGACAAGAATTTGAACCATTACGAAGGAACATATATAAATGACTAATAACCATGTGAAAAGAGGCTCTGTATCATGCGTCACGGGGAAATGGAAAATAAAACTACAATAAGATACCACTGCATACACATTAAAATAGATAAAATTTAAAATCTGGAAAATACAAAATACATTGGGAAGATTGTTAAGCAGTAAGAGATCTTATTAATCTGGTGAGAATGTAAGAAGGTACGCTCTTCTGGAGAACATTTTGAGAGTCTTATGCAGTAAACATAAACTTAGTGTACAATCCAGGGATTCCACCACTAGGTGTTAACGCAGAAATTGAAAACATATGTCCATACAAGGATGAACACAATCATGTTCATGGCAACTTTCTTCATAATAGCCACAAGCTGGAAAGAATCCAAATGTCTTTCAACTGGTGAATCGATAAATGAATTTGGGTATATACACACTGGAGAATACTACTCAGCAATAAAAAGGAAAGGACTGCTGCTACATACATACGTATATATTCATGTATATATATGAATCTCAGTATACATTCATCAGTGTGGATGAATCTCAGAAACATTGCAAGTTAAAGAAGCCAGGCACAAAATAGTATATACCATCTTATCCTATTTTCATAAAATCTAGAAAAGATCAAAGCCAATAGATAGTGACAAAGCAGTTTCCTGGTTTCCTGGAGCTTTGTGCGGAGGGGGGATTGTCTCCAGAGGTGTGAGAGAAGTTTTGGCGGTGATGAAAATGCTCTATATCTCATTTGTGATGTGGTTAAACAGGGGTACACATCTGAGAAAACTTTAGAACAGTATACTTAACCATAGGGGCATTTTATTGTATGTATGTTCTACCTCAAGCAATTTGACTTAAAAAAAAATAAAAAACATAACAAACCAACAGAAAAGACACAGTATATACTTTACCAATCAAATTGCTACAGAAGGAAACCAGGAAATCTGACTTAACGAGGCACAACTCCTAATCCTCTGGACACTCCCTGAGCCAGTGAATGCTGGGAAGCACCCAGTAAAGCTGAATCTCCCTGATGGAAGCAAAAGCTTGAGAGCTGCAACAGATTTGACAGCATGATATAAGGCCTGGGACATTCCCTTATGGAAAGGCATTCAGCCCTAACCACTTAGTAAACATCCTCTAATAGATTTTTAATAAAATCTGAGGAAGGAATAACCCATGCATTGTGATATAGAGTCCCACCTCTACACACACACAGCGCTTTACCCTCAAAATACAGAAAAGGAAGTACATAAAAACACATCACCCAAACTTCAAACTGTGGTGTGGAGAGAAAGAAAGCTCTCTCAGATTTGCTTGGAAGGTAGTAAAAATTCACCTATGTTTTACCAGAGCAAAGAGAAGTTTTAAACAGAACTGGCTCAGCGTAAGCAAGAAATGACAAACAACCATGCAAACTTAGGGTGAAAGGAAATTATATCACATTTCATATAAGGAGACAGAAAAAATCAACTCTAGAGGAAGATATAAACCAATTATACTGGAGAGAATTCCCTCAAGTGTTTCACGCTGTAAGTTTATTTAATAAGAACATGAATTCAATTAAACAAGAGCTCAAATACAAGATGATAAAACAACACAATGAGATGAAAAGAGGGATAGCAGACTAAAGGAAATAAACTTAAGACAAAAAAATTAGTACCAAATAAGTGAGAAAAAACAGAGAGCAGAAGAGCGCTTCTGAAAAATTATGGGAAGAAGCTTGAGAAAAATCCCAAATAGATTAGAAAAAAGTCTGTAGATATAAGATAAAATTCCCTTGAAATGAAAAAAAAAGAAGTGAATATATGTACTGAAAGAACACTTTGTGTTTCGGGAAAATTTGATTCATATGCTCAACACTGAAATATGTT